CTCAGGATTTCTTTGGCTATTCAGGGCCTTTTGTAATTCCAAACAAATTTTAAGACAGTTTTTTCTATTTCTATGAAAAATGTCTTTGGAATTTTGATTGGGATTGTATTGAATCTCTAGATTACTTTGGGTCATGTGGACGTTTTCATAATATTAATTCTTCTAATATAGGAACAAAAGATATCTTTCCATTTATTTGTACCTTCTTCAGTCTCTTTCATTAATGTCTTCTAATTGTCAGCATACAGGTCTTTCACCTCCTTGGTTAAATTTATTTCTAATATATGTTATTGTTTTTGATGTAATTGTAAATAGAATTGCTTTCTTAATTTCTCTTTCAGATTATTTGTTGTTACTGTATAGAAATGCAACTGATTTCTCTACGTTAGTTTTATATCCTGCAATTTTACTGAATTCATGTATTAGTTACAGCAGATTTTTAACAGAGTGCTTAGGGTTTTCTATATATGAGATCACCCATCTGTGAACAGAGATCATCTTATATCTTTCTGATATGAGTGTCTTTTATTTCTTTTTCTTGCTTAATTGCTCTGGCTAGGATTACCAATACTATATTTAATGCATCCTTCCATCCCAGAAATAAATCCTACTTCATGATAGGTAAATGATTCTTTTATTAGGTTGTTGAATTTTATTTGCTAATATTTTGTTGAGAATGTTCACGTCTGTATTCATCAGGAATATTGGTCTGTAGTATTCTTTTCTTATAATATCTTTCTCTGACTATGGTGTCAGCATAATGCTGGTCTCATATGATGAATTTGGGAGTGTTCCTTCCTTTAGAATTTTTTGAAATGGTTTGAGAAGGGTTGGTGTTCTTTAAATGTTTGGTAGAATTTACCAATACAAACCATCTATTCCTGTGCTTTTCTGTGTTGGGAGGATTTTTATTAGTGACTCAATCTCCTTACTTGATATTGGTTTCTTTAGATATTTTTACTTCATGGTTTAATCTTAGGAGTTCATAGGTTTCTAGGAATTTATCCATTTATTCTAGGTTATTCAATTTATTGTCATATAATGGTTCATAGAAGTCTCATAATCCTTTGTATTTCTGTTGTGTCCATTATAATATCTCTTCTTTCTTTCTGATTTTGATTTTTGATTCCTCTTCTTAGTCAATTTCACTATATTTCTTGATTTCCTTTTTGATCTCTTTTTTGACCCATTAGTTGTTCAGAAGAATCTGTACATATTTGTGATTTTCTAAATCTTTCCTCTTGTTACTGATTTTATCTTTTAACCATTGTGATTAAAAAGATAGTTGGTATAATTTCAGTTCTCTTAAATTTGCTAACAGTTGTGATCTACCATGTGATCTATCCTAAAGAATGTTCTGTATGTCCTTGAGAAGAATGTGCATTTTGCTGCTGTTAGATGGAATGTTCTGTGTATGTCTGTTAGGTTCATTTGGTCTAAAGTATCATTCAGATCCATTACTCCCTTATTGATTTTCTGTCTGGATAATCTATCCATTTTTGAAACCGGAGTAGTGAATTTCCCTACTATTGCTGTCTATTTCTCCCTTAATAATTCCCTAATATATTTAGGTGTTCCAGTTTTGGGTACATATATGATTAAAATTGCTGTATCTTTTTGATGAATTGATCCTTTTATCATTATGTAATCATCTTTTTTGTTTCTTCTTACCATTTTTAGTTTAAGGTCTAGTTTGTCTGATATAAGCAGAGCTACCCCTGCTCTCTTTTGCTTTCCATGTGCCTGAATTATCTTTTTTCATAAGGTATGTGAATCCCCTTATGCTTAAGTGTGTCTCTTAGAGGTAGCATGTAGACAAATCTTGTTTTTTGTCCATTTAGCCATGCTGTGTCTCTTAATTGGAGATTAAGCCATTTACATTTAAAGTAATTATTGATCAATAAAGACTTACTACCGGCATTTTGTTAATTGTTTTCTGATTGTTTTGTAGTTCCTCTGTCTATTTCTTCCTCTCTTGCTTGCTTTCTTTATGAGATGATGATATTTTTATAGTGGCTTGTTTTAATTCTTTTCTCTTTACCATTTGTGTATCTATTATAGGTTTTTACTCTATGATTATCATGAGGCTCTCATAATACATCTTATATTTATAGCCATCTACTTTCGGCTGATAACAAGCTAACCTCAATTGCATAGTAGAGTTTTACCCCTTTACTTGCCCCCTCACACATAATTTATTTTGATGTCCCAATTTGCATCTTTTTACATTCTGTGTCCATTAACAAAATATTGTATGTATAGTTACTTCAACAATTTTGTCTCTTAACCCATATGGCAGATCTCAAAGTCATTCACACAATACCTTTGCAATACAAGAGTATTTTCAATTTGACTATACATTTACCTTCACCAGTGAATTTTATATTTTCATATGTTTTCATTTTACTATTTTTTTTTTTATCTTGAAGAACCTTTGTTAGCATTTCTTATAGCCAGGTCTATTGGCTATAAATTCCCTCAGCTTTTGTTTGGCAAAACTTTTACTCTTCTTTATTTCTGAATGACAGCTTATTCTTGGTTGATGGCAGTTTTGGTGTTTTGTTTTGTTTTGTTTTGTTTTTTCCTTTGAGTACTTTGAATATATCATCCTATTCTCTCTTGGCCTGCAAGTTCTCTGCTAAGAAATCTGCTGATAGACTTACTGGGATTTTTTGCCCATGGAAAGAAATTGTAGCTAAGGAGTCCCTCTTTGGCACCTGGTCCGACATGCTGGCACCCAGAGCCCCCAGAGCAGCACTGGAGCTGGCATCCTCAGATGAGACCAGAGTGCCTGGAGCCTGACGCAGAGGTGCGCTTTCTGTGGCTGTAGCACTGATGACTAGAGTGTGGGCGTCTGCACATATCCCATGCAACTGGTACCTGGGTCTCAAAAATTCATCACTGTGGCTCCTGCAGGTAGGAGGGAATGCAGCAGTGGCAAGGGTCCTGGAATAACAGCGCAGAGGTGGCTTGGGTCCAGGGGGACAAAGTGCAGTAGTAGCGCAGCCTGGGGATGTGGGTGAAAGTCCCAACTCTGGCACCAGTGCACCCACAATAGCAACAGCATAGCTCTGATAGTGGTCTGATTTTTTTTAATTAAAAATTTTTTTTAATGTTTATTTATTTTTGAGAGACACAGACAGAGCATGAGAGGGGAAGGGGCAGAGAGAGAGGAAGAAACAGAATCCAAAGCAGGCTCCAGGCTCTGAGCTGTCAGCACAGAGCCTGATGCAGGGCTCAAGCCCACGAACCATGAGATCATGACCTAGGCCGAAGTCAGATGCTCAGCCGACTGAGCCACCCAGGCTCAGGGGTCTGTTAAAGGTACATGTTGTGATCCCGGGATCTGGGCACAGAGGAGTGGCAACACTGCCCTGGCAACAATATTTCAGAGCTGCAACCCAAGACCTGGAGGGTAGGGTTAAGGGAAGCAATGGTAGCCTTGTCCCAACAGTAATGGGCCAGAGCTCTATTTGAAGCTTGAGGGGTAGGGCCCAGGGTAGTGGCAGTGTCCCTAGCAATGATAGGTCAGCACTGTGACCTAGAACTCACAGGACAAGGGTCAGGGCAGCAAATGTCCATCTCAGCAATGACAGTTCAGAGTCCTGGGATGGAAGTTCTCAGCGCAGGAGTGGAACAGCCCCGATAATGGTAGCCAAAGAGTGACTTGGGACACAGGAAGACAGTGACACTTTGGGTAGTAGCAGTAAGTCTGGCAATGATGAATCAGCACCAAGACCTGGAACCTGGGGGCAGGAACCAGAACAGTAAGAGTCTGTCTCAGCAATGACAGTTCAGAGTCTTGACCTGGGCAAGTTGTGAGGGGAGAGTTCAGGGCTATAGTAGCACAGTCCCAATGATAGCCAAAGAGTAACTGTAGAGGCTCTGAAGTTGGAGCTTAATGGAGGGGAGGTTTCCTGAGTAATGATGGGACAAAGCCCCAATCTGGGGCTGGAGTGGGCCAAGAGCAGTGGCAGTTCCAGTCTAGTGCACGGTAATGTGCTGTGGCACCCAATGCTTGAGCGGGGTAGGTACGTCAATAGCCAAGGCTCCCAGGGGCAAGTCTCACCTAAGCAGCAGCACCAGCCTCAGGGAGCAGATGATGAGTGGAGGCAGTCCAGGATGCCCCATCAGTTGGGACCAGCATTATTGAGGACTGTGGGAGACCTTGGTACCCAAAGCTGCAGTCCTTCACAGGATGAGGCTTGCTAGGGTCCTCCAGTTTCTGACTGGGGGATGGGGTGATATGGGCAAAATGCTTTCTCTACATTTCTATGTACACATCCTCAATTTTTGAGCTCTGCCACACTTTTGCTCCTTTTTCTTTTTGTTTGGAAATTTCCCTGAGCTGTTTTCTTCAGTTTGTAGCTGTTTATTTATTGTTGGGTTTTTTTTTTTTCCAGTTTGCTTGTGTGTGTGCGTGCGTGCTTACGTGTCTGCGTGTGTGTGTAGAGGCAAGTGTTGGGACCTCCTAGCCCTCCATCTTGCTGATGGCACTCCCAAATCCCTCATTCTGCAGATGAAGCAATAAAGCCCTGAGACATAAGATGTTTTACTCAGTAATACCCTGCAAGTTTGAGACTGGAGATTACAGTAGGAATCATTTGATTTTGCTGAGGAATTGGTTGTAATCTCACAGGTACTAAAACAACAAACGAATTTTAAACCAAATATGAAGTATATTTTTGAACGTTTATTTGTATCTTCGTTCTATTGCCTCAAAATATTTTCAGCTTCCTGGTCTATGAATTAAAGTTCCTATTTGAATACAAAATATTAATGTATTCTTGCTGAGAAGCCATCATGTGAAGTTGCAGAAGTGACAAATAAATTAATTGAGCATGATGGGATTCTAATGAAGTAAATAATTCTTGAAAGTGCTCTATGAAATAGGCGGTTGTGTATTTTCGGTATTCAACCTCAAATAATTCACAAGTTGCTGTTTTTACACATTTCTGATTTCTGTGCATTTTTAATTTCTCTTCTTTATTCCTTTGTAGACAGAATAACCAGAACATTACAAATAATACTGGAAGTTGTACCAGAAGAAGATTGTCATAAATTATGAATTGATGCATTTGAAATCTTGGCAATCTATGCTTGGCCTTGTTTCTGTCCAAAGGGGTGAAACAAAATGTGGGTCTTCATTTTATGAAAATCCAGAGGATTGCAACTTTGGTGATGGACTAAAGGAATCAGTTATTTCTATTCATATCTTTTAGTGTATTCAAACTGGTTTCTAAGAAATTTAGTTATAATTCAATGTAGTTATAGAAAGTAGATATGCAAGTCTTCCATGAGGTCACATGATATTTGAACCCCTGATACCTATATAAAGTTAGAAGAAAAAGACTACGGAATGAACAATTACTTTAGTGGTCTTTATACCATATGGCTAAGAACTTCAAACGGAACACCAAGATGTTTTCTGTATAAATGGGATTTATAACAGACAATTTTTATATACTGTGGTTGACTATACTGTGAAAAGTGTTTTCTATTCTTCTGGGGGATAAAAGGCATGCGTCATCATCATGGACTGAGCAGAGGAAAGAATTTATTTCATGTCAGCATTGTATTGCTTCCCCATAGATACTAACTGAGATATCACTCATCTTGTAATGAATTATACCCAGAGCATTTTGAACAAAGGATAGAGGAGATATGCCTAATTTTAATGACTACATTAAAGAAGAGCTTTTAGGGACTATTGTCTGTGAGAAAAATCCAGGAATTATGTCTAGAAACTCTTGACAATTGATTATGTTAGGGTTTTTTCACTCATTATCAGGAAGCTTCATGGCTATGGACCACTTTGTTTTCATGGCAGCCCATTTGATCAGGAAAAGATGTAGCATCTTTTTTTTAGAGCAAATCAATACTTAATTTGGTATTAAATCATCTTAAGCACAACCACTTGTTTCACTAATAATTTGCCCCTTGATAACATATTTAAATATATGCATTTTTGAATCATCAAATTGCAGTGTCCATAAAAGACAGAAATCACCAAGAAATAAAATACCGGAAATATTATGTCCAACCCCATATAATCCTATCTATGTGCAGTGTTAGTAATTCTGAACAATTTTTTAAATTTCATAGTTATTTTTATATGTTGATAAATTTTGATAGTTTATACATTTCCTTTATATATTTTATATTCTGTTAAAATATCACTTCAGATAAAACTGTCCAGATTAATTAGGAAACGGCATATATTTACATAAAAATTGAGGAAGAAAATGTCACAGCTAAATAAGTTTTACAACTGATGTTTCTAAAAATTTTCCACTTCTTTATCTCAACTTTGTCAGTAATTTCCTCACCTTAATTATCATTCAACTTGCAAAAGACATAACTGATAACAAATTCACCGGAAGGAGAAACTGTGTGTTTGGGTGTGTGTGTGTGTGTGTGTGTGTGTGTGTGCATGTGTGTGTGTGTGTTCAGACAGGTGTTTTAATGCTAGGTTTGGAAAATATTGTGGAATTTTCAAATAAGTCTCAAATAATGATAGAAAGCATAAATTATTATTTACATACAGCCAAGATTAAATAGTCTGTCATACCTGAGTATGTTTATCCTTTAATTTTAAAAGTAACATTTTTTCAAAGAATTACACTGATTAAGATCATCAAGAGCTGATATAGAGTTCATAGGCAGTTGACCAAAGTAGAAACGATGATTTATGTAATATCATTATATATAATAATTATTTATATAACATGAGGCAATTCTAGTTCACTAATTTAAATTTTTGTGCTCGATAAGATTTAATACACATCCAAGATTTTTTTTTTCGCAACCAAACCTGTGTTTGGCTCTCTAAGTGAATTCCTTCCTTCTTCTCTCACCAAATGGTTTTCAAATTTTGATCTGTAGTCACTGCTTCCTTTATCCATTTGTCTATATCTTTCCCACTATATTGTTACTAAGGTAAAAACAAATTTTCTTTTTTTTTCTTTTTCTTTCTTTTTTTTTTTTTTTTTTTTTACAGTTTAGGCTTATATATATAAACCAAACTCTTCTTGAGTTTTTTTCTTTTCCAAATGAAAAAAACCCTGATAAAATCTCAAGAGGAGGTTTGCATGGTTCTTGATTATTCTTGAGAATCATGTGGTTATATCTTACAGTGGCATATAGGTCTCATTTTGTTTATCTTTTGTTTTAAGTTTTTTATATAACATTGTACAAGTGTACAAGCTAACTAGGATACATATTCATTATTTTTTCCATCATTTTCAAAAATGGTTAAACTTATGCTACTGTCATACCATTTTAACCACACAGAAAGTCAGCCAGTAGTTTTTTTAAAAGTGATGAAGATTAAACTGTTCATCATCTTTTTGTTAGGATACATCACAATAAGATGCAAGGTTTCTGTAAAGAAATTGATATTCATAATTCTTATTCAGATGGTATCATATTAAGCCAATTCTAGTTGACAATTGACATGCACACTAATATGTATATTTTTATTTATACTAGGTAACATTTTCTTTCTCATATATTTAAAATTATATATAGAGAGAATTATACATAAACCATTATATGCAATATACTTGTTCCATTGTGGATATTCAAATGTTTATATACATATTATGAATTTATTATAACACAAAAAGTAAAAGTGGCCAATACAGTTTAAGACAACTAATATACTCTCTTTCAAATGTATACTCTTTGGAGAACATAGAGTCTCAAGTATTTAAAGGTGAATTAAACAGCTCTAGTAAAGACTTCTAAAACTAAAATAGTGTGATTAAAAAATGGGCTGATTCTTCTTGCACAATTATGAATATGTCAGTAAATGTTTTTGACTCAGTTTTTTAAATGTTGGATTATTTTCCTGAGTTGTTTTTTAATCAAATGAAGAAAACTGGACTATTATAAATGATTAGGTTAGCTAGAAGTAGACCTTGGTCTTGTCTTTAGGAGACATAAGATTTGGAAGAGAAAAGATGGCTGACTCAAGAGTAAATATAAATGTTAAGTGTGCATGTACACAAATACACCCACGTGCTTATACTGTATCTGCCCCATCCCTGCTGGCACAAAAGTAGGATAGGTTCTCAGGTTACATTAGCAGTGCATGGCGGTTTCTCAAACACTAAACAATGTACATTGAATCAAATTTTGGGATTTTTTTATATGTCTGGTAAACTTGTTTCCTCAGTTGCTATTGACATATTAACAGATGGTTAACACCAGCATAATTACTTAACATAATTTTTTATGAACTGTAATCAGTCTTCAGGAAACTCATTATTTTATCTCTATTTGTAGATGAATGCGGTGCTAATCAAGAAAGGGGGCATCTTTGATCCATAGTGGATTTCTTATAATTGAGGTATAGGTGATGAGATAGAATACTGAAGGTCAGAGTAGCAGGAAATGAAAGATAGCATGTGACTGTAAGTGATGATATTTTGGTGTAGCTTATTAGGCAGCATAGTCAGAGAAATATTGGGAATTAATTGTTGTGGAGAGGTGGATATCCCAAGTAGCTAATGGAATATAGCTTCAGTGCCCTCACTTAGACATGCCCCTTCCAAGGCTGTATCTAATTTTGCATTAGGAGTTTTGCATTAATTTTCTTGAAGGGGAGATCAGAAAAATTATATACATTTCTGGCCCTACAAAATCTGCATCTATCCCTGTAAGGGAAAATAACTTTCATTATTTTTTCTATTAGAAATAAACATGGGCCATTTATAGAATGCTTTTAAATAATGAAGTTTTGAGTTAATTGAAGTATCTATATATAACTATAAATGGCTTTCTCATAATATTTATTTGATACATAGGGAGGGAGTTCATTTTTGACATTTTTTACGTGTCAGTTCTGAGTGATAGAAAAACAATAAATAGGGTTTCCATTGTAAGTCTCTGAGTTAGGAAAGAAGTATAGAGAGATTTGAGATTTGAATGCAGATGAGTAAAAGATTGATTTTACTTAAATGTAATCTTGCTTCGTTTTACCCTACATGATATGCTGAATGTTGGTGCTGGTGTTTACAGAGTTGTGTTTTATTTTGCTAACAACTCAAAGGCAGGAATGAAAGTATGATGTTATGTAACTGGCAAGAAGCTCGTGGTGGATATAAATTAGAGTAGATAATGAGTCGTCTTGACAGCTTCTGTTTACATACTTTACATGTAAGGTAAAAGAATTGATTACCTATAAGTGTATTTTAGGTTAATTTTCTCATAAACAGTATTTTAAATGTATCTCAATATATATAATATCTAAAAGTGTAACTTCTAGGTAGTATTATTAATGCATTTAACAAAGTATTTTAACAGCCAATTTTTGAAGATAATCCTTCCTTCTTTCTGCTGCATTCTCAAATTAGTTGTTGTCTAAAAATAAATGCTTGGTCTATATTTAGATCTTATACAAATCCACAAAGGCATAAATCATGGTATCACAGAAAGTTCTCCAGTTTTCCATGTTGTGAGATATTGTCCTCTTAGAACATCCTGTGGATATTAGCTTGATCTTCTGGAATCATCCTGGTTTTTTTTAATGGACCGATGATTCCCTTTGTTTTGTCATATTTTGACATGATATATTTTTGATGGGAGTGAGTCTTCATTTGAATTTATACAATTACCTAGATATCCTTCATGTGAAATTACCACTTGGTTTACGTTCTGAGAGTCCTTGCCTCTCTTCTCTTTGTTACCATTGGCTTTAAAATATCATTGGAAGGCAGTTATATGAAATAGTTATCTGTTACACGTGTGTATTTCAGCTACTTGGATCAAGGGTACATTTATGGTATCAATTACAGGCTTAACAGTTTTATAGAAAATACTCTCTCAAGAAAACTGTGGAGAAGTAGGCATCTGAGAGCAGATGGACGCACGGGTTTGAAAGTGAACATACTTGTTTTCCCCTCAACATACACACTACTGACTTTTTTTAAAAAAGCATGACTTGCAAGTGAATTAATTTATTGGTTGCTGAGTCCTTATTACCTCTTGAAGCCTCGAAAGGTCACGCTGAACACTAGAGAAACAAACAAAAAAGACTAATACACAGTTAAGTCTTTTGCAGAAGTGACTGTATTTTGAGCACCTTGGGCGATGGTGTATTTTGCACAAAAACTTGGGGGAAAACATTAGGCTTTTGGATGTTACATCTGTATAATTGGTTGGGTTGTGAGGGATCTGACTTACATGAGGACTGTGAAGATGGACCTCACTTACTCCTACTAATTAACAGTCTTCAGCACTTGCTCAGAAGCTCATTTGTAATCACACCTGGAGGCAATGCAGTGTGGTTCCCTGGTTTTAGGTTTGAACTGTCTTATTTCAAAGGATTTCTGATTTATTTTTCCCTGGAATTTCTCTTTCATTCCAAATTTCCATATACTGACTAATGTAATATAAAGAATATTATATTCAAGTAAAATAATACTTTGGGGAAATAAAAGAGATTGTTTCAAATGAATGTATGCTTTTAACAGAAC